ATGAGAGGCCATTTCGTTAATTGCTGAGTACGAGAAAAGAATATCCCATCACGAGGGACAAAAGTTCCTTGTGCTCCACAAACTCCTTTGACGTCACGAGAAGTCGCTCCGAACTCCGGATGTCTTTGACACGTACGTAAACAGCCAAATTTTGGGCCGGCTCGATCTTGTACGTGATGCAGACCGTCTCATCAAAGGTGATGGTGGGCGTAATCCAACCCTCTGACGAGATTTGTGTCCGTCCTCCCCTGACGTCCCATGGATATCGTCCTCCTGGCAAATAATAGAATGGCAAATACTCGTGGCAGGTGTCTCAGGAAGAACGGCCGTGGTGTGTGCTTTCGGCAAACGTTATCTTGACGTTTACTCCACGGCAGGAGAAGGTATGTGTACAGAGTTCGTCAAGTGCCGTCTTGAAATGTCATCGTGATACAGACTGAGGCTGCATCCGAATAGGTTGTCAAGAGCTAGGGCTAGGTCTTCACTCCATCGTGGAGAGGCGCAGACAATAGACCTCGCTTGAGCTCTGGAGGTGAGCATCGGAAGTACCTGTATGATGGATTTATTAAACTGTGGCACCAGTAGATTCGTGCTCAATTATTGAAGGCCGCCTCTCACCCATTTTGATTGAAAAATATTGGCACAGCCTTTGTATTTGTAAGGTAATGGCTGAGAGTTAACTGCGTACTACAGCAACATTCTTTGAAGGGCAGTGAACTGGTTGTCCCATTTCTGAACTCCATTTCACCCCCCTTCATGTGAAATTTGAAGTCCAATGGAATATTCAGATTATACTGACTTATACATTTCTCAACAGCGGTTGGGAAACTGTGCTCTGCAGTCGACTGTAGTGATCATTACGAAAACAAGACTTCAATTCAAAATAAAATTTGAACAAAAAGCTAATCCTGCAATGAAACATTAGCACTAATGAAGATAAGTGGACCCCTCTTTTGAAAACTGAGAGCTGAATTATGACATGGTATGGGGGAACGTTGTTCCGCGTCACTGGTGAGTTTATGCGTCCGCTCGTAAAGTTTAAGGTGCTCACATTGGTTGTGGACAAATGCACTAAAGGAACATTTATTGTGGACCCACGCTTACGCTGTGCGACAGGCATGTTCGTTCTTTTGTTGCCTGTTTTGACTTTATTTATTTCTGTTTTCTCTTGTTCCTTGACCAAAGCGCAGAAAGGCAAGGAAGCCCCTTTCATGATGTTTAGATTTTTAGGAAAAAAAAACCCTAAATAACCCGTTATTCACATGTATGAACCCGTAGGATGCAATCGAAGCTTGCGTTGGTGATCAGTTTATGGTGTTTACTTCCATGTACCGGTACCTATTGAAGAACAACCTTTTTTCCCTCCCAAGTCTTTGACTCTTAGGAAGGGTTTGTTCGCGAGACTTGCCACCAATTCTCGCGCATCAAGAAACGGCCGAGGTCTAAATGACCTCGTACTCGCTCTTTTACCCTTGACGAATATGTGATGTATTGCCCCTAAAAACCATGTCTTTCCTATCGGGGCCGTTCTTTACAGACAGCGTTCATTTCCTCTTCACTGAGTTTTCTGCGATCCCGTTGAGATATCAGGCATTTTCTGTACCGTCGGGTCCGGTAGGGATTGCTCTGACAAGTGCAAAATCAGCTCTGGTGCCGGCATCTTTCCCCAGGCTCCCACAAGCCGTCATGCAATTAAAACATTCTGTAATGGGAGAAGCCTCCTTTCGTCGTGACGACTCCCTCAAACAAGCCGGGTCTAGTCGCGTTCTACGACTCTGCCCTGCGAAATAATCATTTGGACGGGGCGTTCCCACGGGGCCCCTCAACCGCACGGTCCCGACAACGGTACGCCTCTTAACCGTTCCGCATGCGGCTGGTCGCGATTTACTCTCTTTTTCTTTTTGTCTATTTTTTTCGTTGGAGTACTGACTGTTCGGCTATGCCGGGGTGAATTTCCCTTCCCCAAGGGGTCGTTCACTTCGCTCACCAAGACTGTGAGGACACCAGTCAAATATCGGTGTCGTTTGCGCCAACTGCAAGAACAAATTTTGAAGCCATGTAAAACCAAATTGCCCTCCGTGATTTGCATGCAGTCGCAACCTGGGCATCAGTTGGAATTGCTATCTACTGAAGAAAGTTGGCTCTTTGCACTTTGTAGCAGGCATTGGACCTTAATTAACTGCATTTCCTGTCCTACGTGGACTAATTTCATGGTCCACAGGCACAACCTATAAGCTAAAGAGACTCTACGTAGTAATAAATGCAATACCAAAAGGTCATGTGACCCACTGTGGTTGGCCGGAGAGTACCATGTGTCCGCCGTGGTGACTGTTTTCGGCTCATAAGGTCCGTAAAATGGACTCAATAAAAGAAAATTGTAATGCACAGCTTTACACTGTACACTGGGTACCGTTGTCCTGAATGCTCTTTTGTGCACAGTGAATAAAACCTCAAGGAGACAAGAGGAGCATTCATATATGTAGGACTGATTGAATTAGAGGGGATTTCTCAGCAACGGGAAAATTGGTCTGCATGCAGTGTAGCCCACAAAAGGATGAAAATCTAGTGACCCTGGCCTTTACGTACTTGTTATTGCCAATCCAGTTTACTGTGCAACGTGACACTCTCAGCCCGTGTAATTAAAAGTTCAGTTTCAAAATTGAAGGAGAGCGGAAAGGTCTATTTGATTTCTTCTAATCATGTTTCAAAGAAATGCTTAGTCTCATTGTGCCTTTAGTTCAGCCATGGAAACCTAGTTTACGAATGAGAGTCGAGAGATAGCGCACGTTCCGTGTTCAAACTGACTCATCCCAACTGTTGTTGAAACTGGTAACTAAAGATCGCTTACGCCATTGTAAATCCGTATCAAGGGTGGTTCGAAAGGGTTCGATTCAGCGTTTTATTGATTATGTCATTTACCCATTCACAAGCGATTTGACCATGCAGTTAATCCACCGCATCGCCACAATGCCTTCGCTCAAGGGAGGCAGATCTGTTTTCGTTCTTAAAATAATCAATTCTTTAAAATGACTGAGCAGTCACAATGTCGATGAAACGTCGTATAAAACTGCCCACGCAAATTGAAAACAAGCGGATTATATTTTACAAAGAAGATCCATTTACAGCATTTAAAATAGCAATCATTTTTCTTAATGGTACAGCATGTAGCCGTTGTGACGCCAGTTTTTACGGTTGCAAGCTTTGCACTCGAGTCTGAATTAATGATAAATTCCACTTGTTATACTCGGGGTATTTTTGCCCCAGCTGAGTCGGCCTTTGTAAAGATCGCGGTGAATATTGGGATTGTCTTCCTCGCCTAATAAGACGTTTGTTCTGCCCAGAGCAATATTGACTTGTCTCTGGAGCTTGTATTCAAGTGGCCTAGAGACAAGGGTCTCAAGGACCTTTTGGTAGGCCTTAGGTGTATTTGTAGAGAACCATATGTCTCTGGCTTTAAACTGATTGCAGATTATCTGCATATAGCCCATATTTTGGGGAATAACTGCGTGCATGGTTGATTTGCCTGCCTGACAAGTCATTTTCTGTTGTGACGTGATTTTTTGGTCCTTGGAAAATTAATTGTTCTTCACAAAGCCTGAAAGACTACCACGTGACCCGAACCACAAAAATCGCTTTCTTTGATCTGAGCCGAGTTGGTAGATACAATTTGGATGAGATGTACTTGTTCATAGTATCGGCAGATATTTGCAGTGATGGCTTCTATATTTATTTTGCAAGTGCAGATTAAGTATCGTTAATGATGATAATTGTATGAAGTAAAAAACCAAAAAACCCTAACAAAATCTCAAAGCTGCGAATGTGGGACGCGGGGATGAAAGGTTTCATTAATAGTTGGTGAAGCAGATGTAATGCAAATATGTACTCCTTAGGCTACACAGGTCATTAAACCGTTTTAATCATATTGATGGCATCAGGTTCCCTCGCCTGTGTAGGGCCGCGGCCTAACCTCCTCTCACAGTTTAGTCATTATAACCGACTCCAGTCACGTCTCCGTCTATCGTTGTCCACTCACGGCGCGTTGTTGTGTCCCCCCCTTCCCACTCTCCTATCCACTCCCCCTCATTCGCCACGGTACATTTATTGGGGACTTGAACTAAGAAAAACACATCTTGATCACGACGTGCTTATCGTTTGTAATCGCGCCAGTGGTCGCTGGACAGTCCAGTAGCTTCAGCCACTCGAAAAAATCATATTGTTTCTTGACGTTTCTCATCTAAACGTTGACTGCGTCACTTTCATTGAACTAGCCTACAGAGTGCATGCCAACGCATAAGAGCAGAAATGGTACATGCTGGTTTGTAAAGTGTGACGAACTACTCTGAATCTGAATAAAGGATTTGTTAATTAAAGGGCCTAGGCCTATAATCGCTGGTGTTAAGTGCCCCGTGAAATATCATAGTTGGCAAATCAAATAATTAAGATGTCTTAGAGTATGCTGTTTTCTTTTCCTTCAGATTTGTCTCTTGTAAACTATAAATGTTACCAATCATAAAACTACATACGATGCTAATCCGCTCAACCAACCTTTTTCTGTCAATGATCAACCACCACTGGTGTTACGTACAGTTGTATTTTCACCCTTAGCCTAACGCAGCAAGTTACTCGAACCATCCGAGTATCGACCACGGCCTATACTACTGGGCCGTGTACACAGTCGTAAGTAAAGTGTCCAACTTACAAATCCCAACGCGCGAGACTATCCGTCGCCTGTCCCTTCGATATGTCGCTACGGATCAATTTCATCAGTTCATACTGGCGTAGCTGCAGCGGAGTTACGGAGACCTGGAAACACGACTAACCCTAGAACTTCATTTCTCTTGTGGTCGATGACAACTACATGCGTGCGCGCACTATATTGCGCCGACGCGGTTTAAACTTACGTATAAGACACGGGTTGAAAACATGCGCAGTCTGTTATTGCTGTTGGCATTGATATGTGAACACCTTTTTTTTTCCTTCCTCTCTTGAACGCAAATCAGTACGTTGGCGTAACTACGAGGGCATTGGGGAAGCAGCTGGCAAGGTACCGTAGCCTGCTGTCTGTCCAGCGACAAGCTAGTATCAGCACACAACCAGCTTATGTGAAAATAGCAACTAATTAACACGATAGAGTTACCAGATAAGCGTCGTAGGGCTACTGTCGGCATTAAAGGTAAGCTCGAAACCGACTCAGTTGATCGCCCGAAGCAAAGGATATAGAAGATTCAGGGTTAATTGCTGTAGGTTAGTTACATGTCGTTGCTGTTGGTTTGTGCATGGAGGAAGGAACCATGTTCTTTGTGCTGCTCATGTTTCTCAATAAGCGCTATGCAGTGGCAGTTACTGTCTTACAGAACCGAGAGCACTCTCGAGGTTCAGTTGAGTCGCACAAGCAAAAATAACCAAACTTTTGTTTCTAGAAAAAAAGAATGTCACTAGCAAAAACCAGGGGGTGTTTTTACTTTCTTTGGTTCTTTCTTTGGTTCTTCTGACAACATCTCATGCAAAGACTCTCCCCCTTTTCTTGTCAGTTTGTACGCTCACCGACATGCACCCAAACGTAATGGAAAGTAAACCAGAAACAATTAGCAGAAATTTGTGTCCTTTACAGCAACACTGAGAAACTGTGTTCGAGTTTGAGCAGGGGCCCAAACTCGCACCCTTCGCGTCTTTATTGATTAAAGTGCATGCGAGGGAGGGTAACCTATTTGCCTGCTATTAATAAATGGCGTACACGTCCCTCGGAAGCGATTCTGGAAATGCTGTCCAATTATGTTGTGAAGCATCTGCTCAGTCGTCTTGTCTGTTCTAAAGTGCACGATGATTCTTAACTGTCGTGTTACTACGTTTGGAGCGTAAATCGGGCATTAGTGCTGCTTCAAGTCGGTCCGTCTGGTGCCGTCTTCCTCACTTGAGGGCTAAATATGACTTGCAGCCCAGACTTGATTGATGGGCGTTGGAAGACGGGGTGGATTTTGCTTTAGCCGCTGAAAATCTAAATAGATGAGTTACCCGAGTCAAGAAAATGAATCGGACAAGCCACTGTACATACGGTAAACTTCTCTGATCAATGATGTTTGTAACACAGGACCGAGCCACAAAGTGAGCTGGTGGCCCCAAATTGATTTGTTGGTAATGGGGGCAAGCACGCATAAGGACCGACCAATCAGAATTTGCGGCGGGAAATCACGAGAAAAGTGGAGCACCTTTATATACAACATGCATACAATCGCAGAAACTGCAGTTCTTACCATATCTCTTTCACGTGGTGCCAAATGTGTGTACAGGAGTTTGTTTCTGCATTCAATTGGGGACCCTGAACAATAGCGGACAATAAGGTCCCCGATGGACAGAGGGTCCCCGATTGACAACTGTGTACAAAACATATGGGTGGTCTTCTAAGTACAAACAAAAGAGGAACAATAGGGGGTGCCCAGTTGCAGGCAAATACACACTTGGTTGAGTGTGTGGGTGTGTGTGCAGGCGTGGCATAGTTTGAAGTCCACATAATGTAGTATATGATGGCGTTGTGGAAAACTGGAAAACAGTTTCAGAGGCATTTTGGGGTCAAGGTTAGCTATAGCCTATCTGTGGCAAAATGAAGAGGAACAGTCCAGGAAATCATCAGCTAAAATCCAGCTCGAAGGAGTGTCCTAGTTGGAGAAAAAAGAGCATTTTCCTCAAATATAAGTGGGTGTGTATGGGCGTGTCATAGTGTGGACCTCTGCATAAAGGCAGTCCACGTAATACAGGGTACGATGGCGTTGTTTGGACTTGCACACGTCTACACACCCTTTGCCCCATCTGAAAAACAGTTTCAGAAGTATTTTGGAGTCAAGGTTATCCATGGCAAAATGAAGAGGAACAGTCCAGGAAATCATCGTCTAAAATCCAGCTCGAAGGAGTTATCCTAGTGGGAGAAAAACGAGCATTTACCTTAACCACTGGAGAACAAAGGAATGTTCACACTTCTTATGTAAACAAGCGTGTATGTGGGTCAACGCGTTTGTGTGTGTGTGTTTTAAGTGTCGTCAATGTGAATTGGAGTTAATGTTATACTACATCATGAGTTTTTTCAAACGACCAACGACATGGATTGCTTGGGGGGGAGATTACTAATTATGAGGTACCCTAGTTTTCTTGACGCCAGAGTAAACGGGCACCCGGTCCCACTTCCAGCTGCCGTTAATGGATATAACGAGGTTTTTACATCAAAGTGCCGACATTCGAAACGGAGAAGGAAGGTATTATATCTTATGATGATATATGCACCACGTTAATGCATGTGGACTGCTCTCATTTCTGCCAAAGTCTGCAGAAATATCCCCCTTGGGTGGTTTCAGATTCTTCCTGAAAATGAACACTTAGCCCATTACTTCGAATGGGTCATGCTGTGCAATTACATGTTATCACTACCCTTAAAGATGCACCTTTGTATGCCAAATTAGTTATTAACAAGGATGGGTACCGAACCAATGTTTTGGGAGACAAAACTTGTTTGGGGCCGAACACTTGGAAATCTTTTTATGTAACGTTTGTGGCCTTTCTGATGGATGAGGCTACATTTAGGGGCTTTTAACACGCTATGAAATAGCCCCCCCAAATCGCCTTTTTCTCATCATTCAATAAATGTCCCGGTTTTGAGGGGCCATAGCCCCTGTTGACCCTCACGAATCTGCTCTTGAAACTTATTTTCATTTTTTTGCTTTTGTTAGAAGGTACTTTGGCGTTAAAAAGGTTTTTAAAAATTCTATATTCATGAGCCAACCTTTGATGCCATTAGAGCAAAAAACCTCACTGATGCATTGATCTGGAGACCAAAATCAAAAGTAAATTTTATAGTTTGCTGTTCTAAACTCCCTTTTTGCTGACTTATGATTGTGTAAGTACATGTCAGTAGCAGCCCATATATTTTTAGTGACCAAATTCTCGTTTCACAAATTAAGCAGAAAACAAATTAACCTAGCAGTGTCTTCCCTGATGTAGAGAGAATGACTGAGAAAAATTCAGTGCAAAGACTCTTAAAGGGGGTCTTATTTTCATGTGTTTGTCATTGGAATTCTGATAGCTCTGTGAGATTTTTTTAAACTTAGCTAATCAACTTGGGTTTTGAAGTGACGGCCAGCCCTATAATTCTACTACATGCAGGTACGTGTTAGCAAAACTACGACTGTACTGCAAAAATAGCGTCAACAACGCACAAGTGCGTGTGTTTTATTAAATGATACAAGGTTGTATAGCCTTTCGTATATTAATCTTTTCCTGTGCGAAAAATATGAGGGAAAAAAGTACCGGTGCCGTACCAGCCGGGTATTGAACCACGGAAATCATTCTGTAATATATTTTTTTTTCTTTCCAAACCTACGTAAGCCAGGTCGCCAGGCTTCCTTCCCACGTAATAGGCCGGTTCATAATCGGCGCGAAAGCGCAAGCGAACGTGAATTTGTGAGTCAGATCAAATATTTGCGTTGCGAATTCATACGAGTTGAACACATTTCAACTCAAACAAAATGTCGCCGCGAAGTTGCCGTACGTCAAATTGTCTTCGCTTTTGCATTCGCCTGAATATATGAACCGGCCTTGATGCTGCTAAAGGGGTTCCGTTATCACTGGCAGGTCCCTATTATAATATATTACCAGCATGCTTCATACGGTGGCATTCTGCTGCAAAAGCGCCGTGGTTAGTGGTCAGCCGTCGGATAGGATAACATAACTGATTTCAGAAAATGCACTAATGTCAGCTTCTATTGAAATGAAGGCGATGTGCGCAAACTGTCTGAATTGTAGGTTGCGTGTTGTCATATGAATGCTCATAAATTCTATACGAAAAGCAAAGGGGGGCTTGTTTTGATGCAATGTATCCCAGCTGCATAGTTAAACTGTACAAGAACGTTGTCCCAAGTTCCTTTGATAAAGATATTGAGTAGAACTTATGTCATGCAAGTTCATGTCAGAGCAGCTGACTTAACAGCGCTAGTTTAAGAAAGGTTTCGCTGTAACAGTTGATTCCTTCTTCTGCTGGGTACATGAGATTGGACAAAATTGAGACTTCAGGGTGCGTAATATCGCACGGTGGTCCCGAAGAGACGGGGACATTTTGGAGGAAACAAGTTACTGCATATCCAAAACAGAATGGCATCCCCAACATGGCACAGCAACTTATGGTACAGGATTTCGCCACTTACACAGTGACTTGAAAAGACACTTACGGTATAATGTCATGAAAGAAATTCACAACTATGTCCCCGAAGGCCACTATACTGCGAAGTTATTAACTAAGGCAGATTAGCTGTCGCACGAACATGACAAGTCCACAGCTTGGAAGCGGGCACGCGGCCCAGTGGAGTGTTCTGTACATTGTTAACTGTCACATTATTAAAAGGGTATGTTTAGCCAGTCAGTCTCGTCAGTACAAACTCTACGAGGACTAGAAAAGAAAACCGAACTGGGTTAAAACGAAAACAAAAACCTAAATCACTGGTCAGCGACTGAAGCGTGCATGTTTCTATGAGAAAATGTTTGCTCAAGACAAACACGGCCAACACAAAATTTCGGGTAATATTACCAACGATTTTATCGACCCGATAGCGTAGAAAACATTGTTTAACCCCATTTACATCGAACCTTTTCGAGCCGCAGAGAAAAAAGTCATGCCTGCACGGTTGAAGGCCTCGCTTGTGGGATGGGATTTATATCTTTTGATTAGCGACGCCAGCACGGGGGGACGGTGTCAACATGGAGCATGACATAGTCATACAACATGCAGCGGGGATAGGCTATGTCCAATTTTACTTTCTGCCGCGCGTATTAAGATATTTCGCCAGGTAATCCAATTCATGAATGCAAAAAATTGTCTAATCCTACTCAGTATACATTGTGCAGTACATGTCTTATGATACGTGGGTTCTTTGTAAGGCTAGAGGGACCAGACGGTGGGCTGGAAATGAATCTAGCGCTTCCTTTGTTGTCTTTCTTTATTGGAATCTTTGATCAGCATATGCCGATTTATTAAGAAAAAAGTGCTCACCAAGTTCAAGCAACACCAAACGAGAATTGGTTTAGACTTGCTCAACGAGGGAGAGATCGAACAGCTTGTAAGGCCATACCTTTGTAAACATACATCGTTCGTTTTTTAACATGAGAACGTTTGTGTGTGTGAGTTTGTTTACATTC